TATAGTACCGACAGAGGTAATTGAAAAGTACTTAGTGATGGGTCCTTTACTTTGTTTTGCTTTGCTCTGGCTTCTTTCTCTCCTCTTATGCGTGATATAGCCTGGAAAAAATGTCTCTTGTGTGCAATGCCTTTTCAGTACTCTGATTTATTGGCTTTGTTGTGGGGTATGAGACACATACCCTGACTGTACCCCGCCTCAACACAGGAGGGAAAAAGAAGTTTATCCCCATTTTTTCCTTTTAAAACATTTTTCTCTTTGCTTCATTAGGTCTATAACTATTTCTTCTCTTTCTGTTTCGTTTTTACCTATTCTTTCTGTGTTTTGGTCCTCTAGAAATATGCAGGAAATTTGTTAGAGGGTCTGACACTGACCCAAATCAGCACAATGGCGGTGAAGAACCGTTTTGTGGTTGCTGGAGGCTTCCAAGGAGAGCTCATTTGTAAGGTCAGTTGGGGTATTTTCCTATTTCTCTTCATGGCTGCTAATATCTGAGACTAGCCAGTCAGTTAAAAAGAGCTTTTGTAGTGTAAGTGAAAATCTACTTTTCTCTCCCACCATCTAATTATTAAATAACGTGGCTATAACTTACTGGAAGATATTATGTCTGTACTAAATGGTTGGCTTAACATTATGAGCTATTAAACGATTTAGTCTTACTGATTATTATGTTCATCCTTGCATTATTTGTGGTATTTTCTTTACTTTGCTTCAAATATTGCAGAGTTTGGACAAGCCAGGGGTTAGCTTCTGTGCGAGGACCACTTATGAGGATAATGCTATCACAAATGCCGTTGAGATATATGAAAGCGTCAGGTAGTATGAATGTCATAATCAGTTGTTGAGCTTGCTTGAAACTTCAATTGATGGAATTAAGTATGAACATTGTGCAGTTGTGGGCCTCGTTTTATGGCAGCCAACAACGACTGTGGTGTGAGGGTGTATGACATGGAGAAGTTTCAGCAGATGAACCACTTCCGCTTCCCTTGGCCAGTGAATGTCAGTTTTTTACGTGCTTTTGCTGCAAATTTTTGTTCTCTTCTCTTTGCCTTTTTTTTTTGAACCTGGTAAATCTGTAATATATCACAAAACAATATATGTGTTGTATTGAAACCTTATATACAAATGTACTCCCAATTTCACTTCTCTATGACTAGATTGAGCTAGGACATCAATAATAAAGATTGTATCATTTGAGTATAGCTGGTTACACCAAAAAACTAGAAAAAGGCATCAGTTCAGTTTAACTTTCTGCATACTGTTCACTAAGCTCTCAAACCATCTTGAATTCCTCTCTTTCCAAATAGCCCACCATATAACACTTCTTTGCTTTTTTTGATTTCCTATCATTAGTTACTGAGTAGTTTTGGTTGTCCGTGAAGTATAATATACTTGCTTTTTCATACAAGAGAACTGGCAGGTTGTGGAGAAGTTCCAAACTGGTCATTGTCATTATTCTCCTCCTCATCATCAACATTCTCATGTATTGGGTGTTAGTGGGATAGAATGGTTTCATGAATTTCTAGTGTAAGTTCTTTCTTTAATCAAATGAAATTCTAATATGAGGCTTTAGATGGACTGTAGTTTTCTGATTTAAATTGAGGCTGGAAGTGGTTATTTAATAATTCTTTCTTGTACGACCTTGTATTATGACATCCCAACAAGGGGCTTTTAGTATCTGAGTGACCTCAATGGGTTTTATACATTCAGGTTGAGTTTGGTGGTAGATTAGATAGGCTAGATGAAGGCCAAGCGTTTGAAGATAAATCCCATCATTCTCATTTGTTTCATCTTAGAGGACCAATTTATGGGGGGTTGAATATTTGAGATTTGGCAGTGCCATAGAGATTTGCAATGAGTACAATTGCTGTGGCTGATGGTGCAACTTCTTATATAGTAGATTGCCAACATGATTGCCTTTTTTGCTCTGACATTCTGGAATACCCCTGAGATACTCTTTTATGCTCAATTTCATGTTCATATTCTTAACTTGTATGCTGCTCATGGTTGTATTTGTTGATCTACTATTTAACTTCGGAACTTGTTTCTAGCGAGCAATTATTTTGTCGTGCTTCAATGGGTTATTGAAGTTTTTTCATTTGCTTGAAGTCAGTCATCATCAACGCACATAGTGGTATGTTGTTGTTGTAGTAGTTTTTGTACTTCATATAAGTAGTTACAACACTTTTGGATCTATATTTCCTCTTATTTGAAGTTGAGATCAATCATCAACGAGCTGCCTCTCTCTGGACTTCATTTCTCTTTTAAGATTTATAAGCCAACATCATATGTTGATTCAATCAACCAGGTATTCATATCATAAATAGAAAGCTTTTTTTTTTTTTAGTTGCCAAGTGTTCTTTTGTTATAGAATCTTCAGCTCTTCTTTTGCTTACACTGATAGAAGAATATCACGTCCATAGATAGTAATACCCCCTACTTGAGGGATGAACTGGCATGTAGATAGTGGAAACCCACAGGCTGTTGTCTACTATCAAGAAGTTCATTCAACTTCCTCTGGTTTCTTCAGTCTAGTATGAGATTCGGCAATTAATAAGCAAGGATTTTATTAATTGGACTCAGGACCTTGTCCATCATCCAGTTTGAATCGCATTTCCTCAGAGATTATAAGAAAGTAATAAGTAGGGGATATATCGTAATAGATATTCATTTCTCTCCAATTTTGATCCGGATTAAGAATTATTTCTTCCTGTCTACATTCTTTATGTGAACAGATATTTCAATTTTGTTTGAAGTTGCATCCTTCATGAGCTCATGTATTTATTATTTCACTGGTAATTGATGCAGCACACCTCGGTAAGCCCAGATTGCAAGTTTTTTACTGTTGTTGGGGATGATCTAGATGGTTTACTTGTTGATTCCCGCAATGGAAAGGTATTATAATTTTTTTACCATTACCTTCTTTAGTCCGTTGTTTCACTCTGATAGTAGTATTGATCATTAAATTCAGAGGGAAATGAATACATTTAGCTCAGTTATTCTGAATCTACAGCAAAATCGGATTACGTTCAACTTTTTGATTATGTAACTACGGCCTGTCAGTTTTTTAAGTCTGAATCATGTTAGGTCAATATAGTTACTATATTTGTGGTGAGGCCATTATTTGGCAAAATTATTCCCAAGTTCATTTTCTTTTTCCTTCAAAGACGTCTCTCCATATTTTGGCTTTCGTATGAGTTTCCCATTTGCTGAACTTGCAAAATCTTATCTAAGGCAGCTTGTTTACTGTTAACAGACGGTAGCTTCAATCGTTGGTCATTTAGACTACTCTTTTGCTTGTGCGTGGCATCCAGATGGGCGTACATTTGCCACTGGGAATCAAGATAAGACATGTCGAATTTGGGACTTGAGAAACTTATCCTCGTCTACAGCCATTCTGAAGGGAAACATCGGTGCTGCTCGATCTATCCGTTTCTCATCCGATGGACAGTTCCTTGTTGTGGCTGAACCTGCAGATTTTGTCCATATCTACAATACCAAGTCAGACTACAAGAAACGTCAGGAAATTGATCTTTTTGGTGAGATATCAGGGGTATCTCTGAGCCCAGACGACGAATCTCTTTACATTGGTATCTGGGATCGAACATATGGAAGCTTGCTAGAATACAACAGAAGGCATAGTTGTAGATATCTTGATTCGTTCGTGTAATCTTCAACCCAAGGGTTCTACAGTTCATTCACATTGAGTCCCAATATTTTGCACAAATTCGTCCCCGATTATTTTATATCAGTTCTTGATCTTGGCATTACTATGTACAGTTACACCTTGAGATTGAACTTTGTTTCTGGTTATATACAATCTCTCTCATGTACCATTTTGCTAAACTTGTTCTTTGAATTTTTTGTTCAAAGTGATATAAAAGGACAGTATATTTCTGTCACTATTACAGGGATACTAAAGTTAGTGATAAATGATAACTGGAATGATACATGTATAACACCAACCACAAATCTCGGATAACAATAACAATATATCCGGTGAAATTTTACAAGTACAGTTTTCAGAAATAGCCACATCACCTTCATTTTTATTATAGCCACATGAAGCAATTAGTGTTCCTTTAAATGACCTCCTTATAAATTGAAGACAAGGTTCGTCCTTTGGCTCGAACACATGAAGATATAAAACTCCGAGCTTAGTCAATTGACTAGCCAAATAAGTCAACAGAGCTTCTGAGTTCGAGTCTTTTTTTCCGAGTTTTCTTCCAACTCTATCTCCTCCAATTTCATTCACAATTGCTCCTATAACTTCAAGAGCAAATCTACAACGATTCTCTATGCTCCCACCATATTCATCACTCCTATCGTTGACTTCAATATTAAAAAATTGTTCAATTATGTACTACACAATATATATACACTACTTAGCAAGTACACAATATTATATACATTACACTTTTTCTAAAAAACTCTATTAATAAATAATTAAGTCTGAACATTTGAAGCATGAATAACATAACATGATGGCTTCAAACATTAGGTATACTCCGATATGTTAATAGTGTATATCGAGTATAATATTCAATAGCATGTGGCTCTTTGAGCATAATATTCAATAGCATGTGGCTGTGGAGTGTTATTATATGATCTGTTCCTTGTCATTGGTGGCATCACTACTCTATTTAAAAAAAATCATTTTTGATTTTCAGGTTTTAGGCATAGAAACACATCTAAAATATAATAAAATTGTTAATTACATGCGAAAATCTTAAATTAACTTACTTTCTCCCCTATTATTTACCCCTTCACTAATTACCTAGTAAGTAAACAAGTTAAAACACACCATGTGCATACACATTTTTACTAGTAGTTTAAAGAAAGGGGGTTTTAATGTCTTATTTCATTTTATTCTTTTATATCCAAACTGACTTACACTTTAAGGGAAAATAATAGTGCCTAGTGTACACTCTTATTCGAAACCATCGGGGCTTTAACCCAAACGTTGTGTTCGCTAACACATTTAATACAACAGGAGCATAAATTTGTAACCAGAGCAAGGTGCATTGATTCACATATAATATTTTGAGGTCCAAAACATTGAAAAAAATAAAAATAGAATCTGTCACATTGTACATAACCAACCACCTATAATTTGGCAAAACAAACACTTTGGAATCTTGAGCACATCAAAGATCAAATTATTTATCAAAGTAAGTATAGGACAAAACACAGAAAGAAAAAAGTCTAGACTATGATATAATTGATTCAATAAACTTTTGCCATCAACACATGGCACAGATCATTTACACCCTCAAAAGCATGCATCCAAGAGACAGCAACAGCACAGAGCAGCCAAACTGCAAAACAATACCACAAACCATTATTAGTCCCACTGGAAATTCGAAATAATATGACAAAGTGCTAAAAGAAAAAAGGGCTACTGAAACATCACGGAATCAAGAATCATTGTCTGACTAGTTCATTGGCACTGCGACAACTTGAAGGTTTGATCAATGGGAAGGAGCATCAACATAGGATATTGGAGGTAGAAACAAAGAAACAACAACTAAGGCGGCAGTGTGGATTACTTTGCCAAACTTAGCTCTAGACTGATTTGGCTAAGAGGTCATTATTTTATCTATAGGAGCAGCAGTTGGAAAACAATAGCTATAGACAAAGCAAGTTAAGTCTAAACCGGCAATTTGAGCAGTGTATTCAGGGCAGAATTTTAATGAGAAACATGATATTGTACAGCAAGTTGAAAATTCCATTGCATGCTACTGGTGATGAATCAGTAGATACAATGAAAACAAGAGACAAAATGAAGGGCGTTGATAACAGTAATGGAAAGGACCGGACTATGGTGGCACATAAAAAATATTCACGCATTAGAATCGGTTGGATCTCCAACTCGTGTTAATGTGTAACACACGAGGGATATTCCATTGCTCGAGCTTCTGCCCCAAAAGGACATTTCTTCTCCAAATTCCTTTGATCTTCTCTCGACTAAAACTGGTCAAGAAATTCATCCAAAAAAAAACCTAGATTGCTTATATCGAATCCACAGGTTGCTAAAATATTCAAAGAAAATCAACTAATAGCAACATGATGAATCTATGCAGCAATTAAGGTCTAGAGGTCTAGCCCCCCTTGCTTCTACTTTCCCCCTTTGATGATCAAAAGATCTTTTCGAGACAAACAAGGAAAGACACACAAATATGAACAAGTCTCTCGGCAACTTAGTCAACAAAACCCGAGATCATACTAACCTCACCCAATTCAGTTGACAAAATCAAATCATTACACACCTTATCATCCATAGTCAACTCAATCCAAAAAAAATCTCAGATCATACAATTCAACAACACAACTAAATCATAACAAAACATCACGAGTGTAAAGATGCATACCATCCTTGCATTAATCCAGTGCTACTAGATTGCTGTTGATGTTGTTGAGGAGGTGGAGCACCATACTGAGGTGCATACTGTGGAGGTGGATACCCTTGTTGAGGATAACCCTGTGGTGGATACCCTTGCTGAGGATACCCTGGTGGTGGGTATGCATCTTTAGAGTAACCTTCTGGTGGATAACCTAATTACAAAATTCCCCAAAACCCCATCAGATCTAATCATCAAAATAACATATAAAAACATCAACTTTACCACAAATCATCAAAACAACATATAAAAACATCAACTTCACCATAAATCATCAAAACAATATATAAAAATATGAACTTTACCATAAATCATCAAAAAAAAAATGAAATTGAAGCAATTTACCTTGTGGTGGTGGTACACCAACAGGGGGTTGCTGCTGATTGTAGTAACTCATAATTGAAATTTCTTGTTGAAGAGAGTTTTGAGTTTTTGCTTATGCACAAAGAAATGGGGTTTATTTGTTAGGTTTTATAGAGCAAGTCAAACAAGGACTAAGCCCAGCATATTCCAAGAAACTCTCCGACTCTGTTGCTACAGACGGATAAGAAATAATTAAAATCAAAATTTATTTATATAGTTAGAAATTAATTATTCTATTTTTTTTATCTTATATCCAGTAATTGTGAAATAATTAATTTTAAAATTTATTTCAGAGATAATTTGTTAAATCCAACAAGGCCTTAGTAATTTATTAATTTATTATGTGATCTTTTCCAAGGGTACTAGAAAAGTACCCCGTGTGTGATGCGCGTAAAGTGTCAGAATATTATTTTTCTATATATATATATTACTCTTATGTTTATTTTATTTTATTTATCATATATTGACTGGCTATGTTCACCTAAATAAGTACTCCTAAATAAAAATAATAATTTTCTATATTAAATAGTGCATAGACTTAAATTATAATTAATGATTTGAAGAATAATTAATTAATATTGAGGATGAAATAAAAATAAAAATAAAAGTTTTTCTTAATATGATAAAAATGATAATGAAAGTGAAAATCTATTTATAAAGTATAAAAGGAGCAATAAATTTAATATTTAGAGAATTCTATAGTTAAAAATATATTATAGATGAGTAATTAAATTATTTTTAATTATTTAAAATAAATAAAAATGAACTATCTATTTATAGTATTATTGAGAAAGGAAGTAAAATTTTATAGATTTAATTAAATTTTAAATTATTTGATTCACGATCGAAAAGGAAGAGAAAAAGAGTTTCCTCCATTATATGTTATTTTTAGGATTTTGTGTTATATAGTATGTTTTAGAGTTTATTGACGATTTATGAAACCACTTATTAGGATAAGAGTAAAAGTTTTAACCAAATTGTTAAATATATAACATATAGTAGGTGCTTAATTTTTGTAAGCTTATTCATTCGCTTGTTATTTAATTATATTATAAGTTTATTAATAAAAATTCTGACTCCACCCGATATCACTGTTGAGTTATGGAGAGGGGTGGAGCACCATGACATGTTTTTTCATTCTTATGCATTCCCACTCCAATAGCTTATGGCAATGAAAGTTTTGATGTTCTCAAAGTCTAACTATGATTAAGACACTTTAAAACCCCCCTATCTTATTGCAAAAAAAGGGTTAATGTAGTAAGTGCAAAATAAAAATAAATTTTAATTATACAAGTAATAAAATTAATATCGATCAGTTTTAGTTGAATGAGTTGAAATAATGTGAAACAAATTTTCACAAATAAAATATATTGTGGAGCATCTGAATATTTAAGTATGAAAAATCAAAATCTCATTAATAAGATAAAAGTTTAAATAATCAACTCATTGAAGCTATTAAAATTCTCGTCAAATTCTTACTAATACATAAACAAATATATATTTAAAATCACAAATTCTAAAAGTAATTTTCATCCATCTCAAAAGCATTATTTCGTTGTGATTTTTTTTTCCTTCCCAAAGGCGTTGTCCACTAAGATTTGAAGTCCTTAGACAAAGCAAAAGAAATAGCATTATGAAAGAGGATGAGATATAAAGTGAATTTCTTTTTCTCTATTTCATAAAAAAAACTTAGATATACAAAAGAAGAAAATGTTTATATTTTTAAAATCTGTTTGTCCATAAATTATGCCTTTTTAAGTGTGTAGTTATACAGATCCACCCACTATAGCATCCCAACAAAACTCATGACTTCATCAATCACTATTAAAAAATTTTAATAAATTATGGAGATTTATTTATATGGTCATAAAAAAAAACATTTCAATAAAGACAGGTTAAACATTAATTCTTCTAGATAAATCGTTGATCAACTTTTCTTTGGAAGAACTAATAATACAGTGTAGGTCATATCTAAATTAAAAAATCATCAAAAGATGTAAACAGTTTGTCAATAACTAATGAAAATAACAAATTAAAATAACATGAAAAGTTAAATAGCTGAAAAAAATTATGAAATATTCAATTTCTTTTTTACAAACATAACACTGAAAAAAAAATTCAATTTCTTTTCGATATTTATATAACAGCTCGATTAAAATTGAATAAAATTTGAGAAAAAGATTCGGCAGTAAAATCAAATTAGGATTTCTTGGAATGCGCTTTTTTGCTGGTCCTCGTTGTGTCCACTTTGATTTGCCTTATAAATATCCCTTCTCCACTGTGCAGCCCATTATCTTTCTTTGTGTCTAAGCAAAAGCACCAACAGAAACTCTCTCTACAGTTAGATCCAACCCAAATTCTTCATTAATTCAACAATGAGTTACTACAATCAACAACAACCCCCTGTTGGTGTGCCACCACCACAAGGTAAATCACTTCAATTCCTTTTTTTCTGATTTTATTTTGGTAAAGTTGATGTTTTTATATGTTTTTTTGATGACTAGATCTGATGGGGTTTTGAATTTTTGTAGGATATCCGCCAGAAGGTTACCCAAAAGATGCATACCCACCACCAGGGTACCCACAGCAGGGTTACCCTCAACAAGGTTACCCACCTCAAGGGTACCCTCCACAGTATGCACCTCAGTATGGTGCTCCACCTCCTCATCAACAACAACAGCAATCTGGTACTGGTTTCATGGAAGGATGGTATGAACCTTAAAGACTCAATTTTTATGTTCATATGTTATGATTCAGTTACAGTAATTTGTATGATTTTGTTTGAGAGAGATCTGTATTGATATTGGTTTTTTGTAGAGCGGTTGAGGAGATTGTTTATCTGTCTTGTCTGTTACTATGTGTGTGTTTCTTGTTGATTTGGTGTGTCTTGTCAAAACATGATTTCTCGAATTATTATTGGTCTGTTTGATGTTTACTTTGTGAGCACTTGTATTTAATAACTATGGTTCTGGACGAGTTCTGGACGCGAACTAGAAGGGGTCCTTATCATTTGTATGTCTAGTTGAACATTAACGCGAGCAGGAGAGACAATTAGAATGCCTGAATGATTCTCTATGTGCAAACATAGTCCAGGCCTTGCCACACCTTTGATTTTATCTCTGACTGCTGAAATCGCGCCCCTATCATACTTCAGACTGGAAGGGGGTGCATGGACTAGACATAACTTGTGTTGCTTTGTCTATAGCTATAGGTTTTCCACTGTTGCTGCTGCAATAAGACAATAATGACCTCTTATCAAAGAAATCTACACTGTCACGTTAATTGTTTCTTCGTTGTAATAGACTATGGGAGTATCCTTGTTGATGCTCCATTCCACTGTAAGATAAGTAGTTAACTGATCTTTCAAAACAATCACATAATTGTCATATTAATCACACGTTTAAGTTATCGCAGTGCCAGTGAACCAATTAGACAATGGACGTGGTCTTGGCTACCCTAAATTTTCATAGAATATAGTGGTGGTCTTTCACATTTCAACAGCTTTGTGATTTTCTGTTTTAGGCGTTCCTTCTTTCTTGTAGCCTCTCCTCATTTTATTTGAGCTTGCTGTATTTGTTATTTCCGGTGGGGGACTAATCATTGGTTGTTATATTTTTGTTTTGCAGTTTGGCTGCTCTGTGCTGTTGCTGTCTCTTGGATGCATGCTTTTGATGCTGTAAATGATCTGTGCCATGTGTTGGTGGCAAAAGTTTATTAAACCAATTCTATCATAGTCTAGACTTTCTCTTTTTGTGTTTGTCTTTGGTGTCCTGTACTGTCCTTGATAAATAATTTGATATTAAATATGACGATGCACCTTGTTATGGTGGGAGAATTCAAGTGTCTATTTGCCAATTTATACATTATTGTGCAATGCAAGAGATTCTATTTTTTTAAAATCTTGGTTGTCTATATGTGAATGCGACCTTGCTCTTAGGTTATATATGCTGCTGATTTCTATTTACTGTGTGGGCGATCACCATTTTTTGGGTTTAAAGTTTATTATACTGACTTGTTAGACGCCCAAAGTATAACCAATTGAGTGGTGAAATACTTCAACAAGTTGGCAAGTTGTAAAATCTTCTGGGTGTTAGTATATCCTACAACAGGCTTGTGGGGTGCCTAGTATGTTTCTTAATTTAGACCATAATGAAAGTCCGCCAAAACCTTTAATCCTTCATCTTATGCTTTGTTGGTGGGCAGGTGACATATATTTTGTAGAACACAACCAGACTTGGACTCAGCCGTTGGTTCTTGATCCTTGTGCTTATGCAAACCGAATAGGTAATAGAAATAGGTTCTTTTGTGCCATAGATTCATATATAAAGGACTTTACTAAAAACAATCAAAGGTTATAAAATATAACGACAAGCAAAACTCAAAAGACCACCCCAAAAGTAGGCCCATTTATGTGAATGCCTTTGAGATTTTCTTCAGCAGATGACCCATTAGGATGTTGGGTTGGGCCCTTAAAATCTAGAAACCTTTTCCTCTTTGCTTCCTAAATTGCATCAAAGCTCTTGTTCGAATTTCACTTGCTATTTGAACAAGTGGAAAATCATTTCATATTTCACAATAGAGAAGGGTAGAACCTCTTTGTACGCTTTAATAACGTGCAATAGTGAATTATTATTCATCCGATAATAATGATTTATTTGGAAAAACTTTTAACCTAAATTAAACAAGAAAACAAAAAAAATAATCAAGAAATTGAAAAATATTTTTAGTGACCTAATGTAATATATTCTTGTCTTTGCCTTGGTGTCTATATGCATTTGAAGTACCTCTGATGATTTGTACAAGACGAATCTTAACCTTAAAGTTCTGTGTACTTTAATTTCTAATTCTTTACTCCAAAACTTTATATTCTACTTTTTTTTTCTTGTCTTGTATGCTACTGAAAATGGAAATTTTTAAATTTTTTTTCCTCTATAAAAATAAATATATTAATTAGCAAAATGTTCATTTGCTTGAAATGTATTAAGATTTCATTATACTTTCGCGCTAGTAACAAAGACATAATATTTTACAAAAATCGAATTAAATAGATTTGAATGAATGTATTAATCCCATTCACTTGTTGTGTTAGCAAAATGTCTCAAGCCCTTAATCTTAACAGATCTTGCAAAACAAAAAGTTTCATTGATCAAGCAAGGATTGAGCCAAAATTGAGGGTGTCCACACATACCACATCCAAACAAGAAATCAATTAAAGCCAAAACTAAAGTGGAGTGTTGCCACAAGGCATTATCAGAATATAGGGGTAAAGTTGGAAGAAAAAATCATTTCCATTTTCATACATGTTTGAATATTTATGTAAAACAAACAAATATAAAAGTATGATAATGTTAGAGCTAAACATAATTAACAAACAAAAACCTACATGACACTTGTTAATCTTTTTTCCTTCAAGCAAAAACTTAAAATCAACACAAAGATTAGTTATATCCCATATATTCCTGGGTATATACTTAGTTATTCACAAAAAAATTAAATATTATGCTCGAATCAATTTCGGAGAAGAAAATAAATACTCTCGCTAGTCACAAATATTCTTTAATATCGTAATATATTTGCGATTATAATCAAAAATTTATCACGCAAACGGTTTGATTGATGTTGTGCGGGGGATATTGAGGTGCATGTGATGAGGTATTGTGTAGATCGAAGCTGACAAAAACTCACAGATGAGAAATGAAAATGAGTCACAAGATACCTATTCTTCATTCTTCAAATCTTAATCATATATACAACAACCCATCACTCTTAGATTCTGCCTGTATAGCAGCTAGGAACCTACGAATAATCCTTATGTCACACAATCACTCATCGTTATTTTGTTCCTAGCTAACAAAATTTAATTTTATATATAGGAGCCTAACAATAATCCTTCACCAATTATATTATATTAAGCCCTCACACACACACATATATATATCACCGTCACATTAAGAGAACAAAAAAAATTGAAATTAACTACGCAATTCATAGTAACAACATTGTGTGATGTTCTGTCACTAATTTCAAATTTTTGTAACAATTTTAAATTAATAATTAATATTATAATAATGTATTATAACTGAGTATACATGAATTCGTTTTTAATTGACGTTTAAATTTGCCATGAGTTTGAAGTTTGAAATAATAAACACACACATGAATAGATGTGTCTAATCGACTTGTTTAAAATTATGATGTGCTCTTTTTTTTTTATTATTATTATAAAAATTTACGATTATCTATATTATACTAGTTAATTAAACTTGTGTGTTCACCTTCATATAATATCAACAACAAAAAAAAAATTAAATAGGACTACAAAGTGTATTATAAAGTTTGCCTCTTTATCAAAAACTACATAATTGGTAAAATGAATTAAAAAAAATAATACTAGACAGATAAAACAGTTACATTAATAAAACTTAGAGACTAAAGAAATATTGTATATATATATAATAATAATAACCCCAGTAAATTGGAGAATCAAACATCGAACTATCGGACAACAAATACATACTTTTGAGGTAAATAAATTCGAAATTAAAGGAAAAAACAACTAATAATATATCATATGCATAAATCATAAAGCTTAAAGTTCACGCAGGAGTCATTTGAGGTAATTAACAAAATTGAGATGAAATGATAAATATTCTAATCAGAGATTTCTTTGAATTTGGTCAAATCTTAACTTCAAAGTATGAAGTTGAATGCTCTTTACTTTTAATATAGAAAATTACTACTGTTCAAACCTAAATATAAATTATGTCTCAATACAAATATCAAACACCAAATAACAAACTTCGAGCTACGAATTATTTTCAAAACTATTAATTTATAATTTTAAGACAAAGATGATAATGACAAAAGAACAAAACATGGGCCTACTATCACAGTCAAAATTTTAAGTTGCACCCGTGATCTTCATTTGTTTCTTGTGATTATGTGAAAGTGTATTTTATTTAAATTATTTATATAAGATCATCTTTCATATAGATATTAATAGATGGTCAAAAAGTTTAATCACGACAAATAACATGTTTTAGAAAGTGTAAAATTGTTTATTTCATCGAAATATGCTCTAAAAAGTGCAAGTAGATCAAAAAATAAAATATTCTTGGATGTGAAACACAACAAATGAAATGATTTTGTATTTTCATATTTTTTGAAAAATTATTGACAGAGAAAATGAAATGACAAAGTAATAGATGATGTGACAAAGGACACATGGTTGAGAAGCCCTAAACAATAATACAAAAATAAAAGTTTTTTTTTAATTATAAAATTATAAAAAAAAAAGAAGAAGAAGATAAAAAGAGTGAAAATAACAAGTCTTTGGGAATTTGTGGGGAAATGTGTCACATTGGACCATATTGTTGATTGTCTCATCATTTTTTCACAGCTTGGTGTCTATTTTTTGTACAAACAACCATAACATTCTCATTAGATTCCATTTATCTTTCCTTTTTTATTTCAAACTTTATCTTATAAAAATAGTTATATATTTTCCAATTACATTCTTCATTTTCTTTTGTCGGTTGGTTTCATATTTAATGTTTAAATTCAGATTAAATTAAAATCATATTATATAAAATTTATTGAATAGAAATTTTGATATTTGTTTTAAGGTCTTAAAGAAAAATTCATGTCCTATAAAAGATTAAAATCCATTATAGAGAGCGTACAATATATTAAAATATCAAATTTAAATTCATATCATGTTGATCATATTTTTCTTTAGGATACTAATTAATTTAAATTCGTATCAATGTAAAGCCTATTACACATGAAAGTCCAGTCTCAAAACTTAAATCGAGAACTTTTGATTAACGTCGAAGAAATCATATCTATACATTCTCTGTGCTTTCTTGAACTACATATCCACAATCCAATGAGTTTTTGTATTTTCATTTTTCTTAAGTCATGTATTGAATTTCAAATTTCAAATTTTACTTCTTTGTTATAAGTTATAATTTTGTCTGTTCCTATTATTGTAATATGAATCTTAGATATATGGTTTATGTAACACATGTTAATGTTTGTTTTTTCTCTTGACGTGATATATATATATATATATATATATATATATATATATATATATATATATATATGTTTAACAATCTGAAGATATACAGAAAAAAGTAAATAAATTATTAATGTACATAGTACTATTTGAGTTATACTAGAAAAATCAACTTGAACTAGGATTTAGAAACTTATATATATATATATATATATACAAAAAGTGTATTAAATTTATCTTTGTGATAGCAGGTGATATGACAATTTAAATACTAAGTTTAATCTATACATACATCATTAGTATAAATATTTTTTTTACTCTAAGTAAATTGATGATGATATAAAGTCCTTACACTCTAATAATATATACAACTGATATTCTTATTTTCTTTGATCAATAATTATATATTTAGTATAATGCATTAATGAAGTTTGGTGAGGGTAATGTATATATGATCTTAACACTCTAATAATAGATATAACTTACCTTCTTATTATATACGGTCAACGACGTCATATTCAGTGGGTCTAGAGAAGATAGTGTGTATGTGACCTTAACATTGTAATAGTACATATCATTTAGATTCTTATTTTATACGGTCAACAAAATATCTAGTGCGATCTAGAGAGCGTAGTGTGTACGCGGTCTTAAAACTCTAATAGTAAATATAAATTCTTATTTTATACGGTCAACAACATATCAGTGAGATTTGATAATTAATTGTAAGTGTGTTTGCGGTCAACAATATATTAAGTGAAATTTGAAGTGAATAGCGTGTACACTGACTTAACACTCTAATAATAAATATAATTTACCTTCTTACTTTATACGGTCAACAACATATCAGTGAGATTTGATTATTAATTGTAAGTGTGTTTG